TTCTTCTAAGAACAGAGCCAATTTGCATCATTATTTGGAGACCAGACTTTATTAGGACCTTTCTCCAGAAACATGTGTGAAGATCTGAGCAATCCATTTCCTGGCAGCTGACATGAGATAAAACATTGGACAAGGCAAGGCTATAATGTGCTCTTCTGCACACTGTGTAGTGAGACAAGGCTGGGGCCCATCAGGGACCAACATCTGTCTTGTAAAGTCCAGGAGGCTCTTTTGGAGATCCAGAGACATGTGAGGATGGAGAGGGGACGGACAGGAAACATTGCCAAAACTTTCCAGTCCTCCCCTGTATAATGGTGAAGCTGTGCTATCCAAAGAGAGTACAGACAATAGGGTTTCATTTGGTTCTCTAGAAATTAAGATGTTTTCTTTCAACACATCCTTTGTCTTCTAAAAGACCTTTAATCATTAGTTTTTGTATGACTGCTGTAACAAATCACTACAAATTTTTGGTTTAAATATAACTCAGGATAACCTTTTCTTAGCTTTTCTTCCTGAAACAAAATTCCTGAGACACTGAAGAAAAATGGTTAACTATAGTTTTAGAGATTTTAGTCCATCGTTTCTTGGTCCTGGTATGACAGGAGGCCTGTTCACTTTATGGTGGCAAGCAAGCAGAGAACAGGTCTGTTTCCAGTATCTCCTTCAAGGACATTTCTCTGAGGAGCCAACTTCCTGTCAAAAGTCCATCTCTAAAAGTTCCCTCACCTACATACCACCACCAAAGAATGGTAACCAAACTTTCAACACAAGAGTCTGGAGAGATATTTAGGAACCCAACCAATTCATCTCCCAATCTGAAGACCTATATTAGAATTTAACAACATCTGAAAACTCTCCCTTGAAGCCTAAATGAACATATTCATAAGTTCTGGACATTCAAATATAAACATCCTTTGCAGGCCATTATTCTACCTACTACAGCCATCATGGTGACTTAAAGCATAGCTTACTCATTTTTAAAACTGGAAGATATAATTCATGAGAATATAGTGAGCTCATACAATAACATAAAGTAAGCAATAGGTGAATGGCAAAAAGAACAAAAGCATTGTTAGTGGCAGCTGGCAGGACTACTCTTAATTAGCAGTTGCAACTCTCTCCATTATAACCTGAGCTCAGCTGTATTTCCTCTTTATACCTTGTTTTCTTATCTCTAAAGATATAAATTTAAATTTTCCTCATCAATTACTGACTTTCAATTTCTGTACTCTCTTACTTGGAAGAAAGTCACTGAAACTTACCTTTCAAGAATGTGGGAGAACTCCTACATTAAGCCATGTGGTAGCTACCAATATTCAGGACTCCCAAAAGGAAGATTTGCCTTTTCTCCCCCATTTGTTTATTAAACTATTAGCTTCTATTGAGATAGGTATATTGGTATTTTATTTTTTGATTATAACCCAATGGCATCTGTATTGATTTGGTTGCCCAAACTATGCAGATTTTTGACCTAGGGGAACCAAGTATCTTACATAATTCACTGAAACCTCCAAGAATACACTGGAATCAATATGAAGTATTAATCCTTTGTAAAATCCCAAACTAAAGCTCAGAAAAAGAAACCTTCCAAATGACCCTTATCTGCATATGGTGAAGTGGGAATTTATAGATAGTACTCTTAAGAGTGAAATCAACAGGAATAACACAGTATAACAGAATGGTAGAAAACAAAACCAGATTTTGGAAGGGCTATTTTTTTCAGGATGGAGATCTGTACATAGTGAAGTTTCCAGAGAAGCTATCTGTATAAGAATGGGAAAGTGTTCAACTTTAGAATTCAGGAATTTCTCCTCTTCACACATTAGAGATAAGCTAACGGGACCAAGAAAAGTGGTATTGTGAAAATGAAGTTACAAAGGACAGGGAGGGCCCTCAGTTTTTATTGGTAAAACTGGAAGCAGTCATCTTCTCAGTGAGCTACTGACACTATCACTCAGGTAGCCATCATCCACAGGCCAGTGTTTGACAGGTCTGGTGAGGGAGAAAAGCTGGAGTCATTCATGGTGATGGAAATCATTGGACCGCATACCCAGAAATAATAAATTCCAGTTATGCCTTGCCTAACAAGAAATGTGAGGCAAACATCAGAGTACTTCATCGAAAGCTAGGGGATATGGCCCCCCTCACACTCTTCTAGTACTGACACTCTTCAGTGCAGACTGCTGTTGACGGAAATGTCACTATGTGGTGAATGATAGTTAAAATCAAGTATTTTTAGGTAATTCTTAGTGTGTGAAACTCCATCTCTAAAATTATCCTGCAAAAAACAAGGCTAGAGGTGTGGATTCAGTAGGACAGTGCTAGCCAAACAAGCAAAGTGAGATATTTTGAGGTCCTGAGTTCAAATCCCAGTAACTGCCAAAAAAAAGTTTTGTGAATTACTGATTCAACATACAGATACTGTTCCTTGTCTTCATCTAACATGGTTATATGCTATATACTTCCATTTCTTTCCTTAATGTGGACCAGAAAGAGAAAAATTACAACATTCAAACTTTGTGATTACTTTATTACATATATATTATTGCATACAATTTTGGTAAGTAAGGATACTATAAATCATATTTTATATAAAAATTATGCATAGCATATATAAGCAGTAACATTTTGAAGGACAGAAGAAAAACCACGAAAACAGTCACCTAAAATTTATTAACACTGAAAAATGCTAGTTTGTGCACAGGAATGATTGAAAGCTTGATGGTACAACAGAACACTGGTTCATCTGCAGATACTGTAGGAACAACCTAGTTTGAGAAAATTCATATCTGTCCACACATTACCAAAAAATAAATCAATCAATATAGCAGTATACTAAATATTCTTTCTCTGGCACTTAGCCAGAGAATACAGACAAGAGTGTATTTGGTTTAATGTGATTTTATTATTCGGATACTTTACTTGTTTTATACAAATGAAAGTATCATATTGATTTTAAAACCTTTGAATTTTGGAAGTGTATAATCAATTGTCATCATATTCACAATTTTAGAAGATTTTTTTTTTTTGGTGGTCATGGGGCTTGAACTTTGGACTTGAGAGCTGCCCCTCGGCTCTTCAGCTCAAGTCTACCGCTCTACCACTTGAGCCATGGTGCCACTTCTGGCTTTCTGGTGGTTTATTGGAGATAAATGTCTTTTCCTGCCTGGGCTGGCTTTGAACCATGATCCTCAGATCTCAGCCTTATAGCCTTATAGGCGTGAGCCATCAGCGCCCAGCTAGAAGATTATTTTTTAATAAAACAATTTACCCAATAACATGTGGAAGAGAATATCAAAAATGGTTTACACAAAGTTTTAAAGAGATATTAAAATTTAAAAATAGAACATCAATCTAGACTACTAGTCTAAATACTTAGCGATAAACTCATACTAAGGACAAATTATGAAATGTTTTAGACATATTTTTTCCAACATTTAATCTAAAATTCAAAATTTTAAGTGAAAATGCAAAAAAACTGCTATTTTATATGAAGCTGTTTTTATACACAATATAGTTTTAAAATGGAACATATTAGCTGGGCACTGGTGGCTAATGCCTATAATCCTAGCTACTTAGGAAGCTGAGATGTAAGGACTGTGGTTCAAAGGCAGCCCAAACAGAAATGTCCATGAGATTCTAATCTTCACTTAACCACCAAAAAACCAGAAATGAAGCTGCAAAGTGGGAGAGTGCTAGCCTTGAGCAAAAAAATCTCAGGGACAGTGCTCAGGCCCTGAGTTCAAGCCTCAGGACCAGCACACAAAATATATATACAATATGTATATATGTACATTTTAATATTACATCTCAGTGTAGGTGTCTATGAAAATTTTAAACTATATACATAAAACCTGTCTAGGCTCTTCAGAGGCTATACTGAAGTAAAACAATGACCAATAGTGGCATTTTCCTTTATTTATTTGAATACAATAAATTTGACAGGTGATTTGTCTTATTGGAAATAAAGGTCATTATATCATAAAAAGAATTTAATGTGTAAAGGTACACATATTAACTGAAAATAGTTCATTATCTAATTTCATCAGAAGACACAGTGTTAAAAATATATAAAACTCAAAATTATTATGTGCATGTATAAGTATGGCCCAAACATCGTACACATAATTTTGTTCTGTATGTCTATACAGTGTACCACCATTTCATTCCTTACCATCCTTTGCTCCAAACATTACTATCTTCAATTCTAACACTCCCCAAATAGGAGAAAAACAAAGTTTCCACTGCTTTAAAAAGTGAAATTTATAAAGTCAATACATTAAAAAGGTTTATAGATCCAAGATAGTTTTTAAAGAGAATTTATACACATTGAAGTAAGTGCTTTGATTAAACTAAAAGCTGCACATAAATCCACTTCTCTTCATTGCAATGTCATACATAAACACAGCTCATTTGACTAGAGATTTTTTACATTGCAAAATATTCCTATTCTTGTGGAGATTGCAAGAATGATTTTTTTTTAAAGATTTAGTAGACTTCAGAAAAATCTACCTTTTTCTTCCAAAGGAAAAAACACTGTTGAAATTTAAGTGCTACGATTCTAATATTTATGCAATAATTTTAAGGTAATTTTTGGAAAGAGAATTGTCCAACATAAGGCACGTAGCAACATTTAGAGTCTAAAAGCAACTATTGTACATAATAAATAATTATCTTTTCAAATCACTATTTTGCCTTACCTAAAGAAAATGGGTGAGTAGTGCAGTTAAAACATGCCTAGAATAAAAATGATTCGATGTAGGAAATACAAGTAATATTTGTGTGCAAAAGGATGTTAATTTAATAAAGGGAGAATATTTAATATAAAATACACATCCTACAGAGCTACAGGTAAGAAGGTGAGGCACTTAGACTGATAGTGCAGGAAGGTATTGAGATTACCTTTTTACAAAAGCACCAAACCATTAATTTCTACACTTAGGCAAGTATGTAAGTTTTACAACTGTATTTGGTATAATGAGAATTCAAAATCAAAACTTAAAGTACTTCATTTTTATTCTGACAGCAGTAAGTCACGTCAAGTCTTCTGAGAGAGTGGAAGATAATGAATGCACTTGGTGACTCCTGTGGTGCTGGCTGAGTGATAGGAACTCAGAAGGCATCTTTACACAGATGTGTGCTTCTATTTCAAAGATTACTGTGTATAAAATGGATATTTAACTCAGGTTCTACAAACAAATATTAAAATCTGGTTTGGAAGAACAGTGCCGATATGTCCAACAATAGCATTACTTTTGTGATCCACCACAAACGAATTTGATACAAAAGTGAAGATGAAAATCAGGCTTGGAGTTAGAGGAATCTGCTGGAAGTTAGGTGAGGGAAAGGTTTGGCATCTGATGGATGAGTAAGGGGCTGAAGATGAGGGGCAGTCTGCATGTGACTCATGTTATTTAAGTCAGCTGGGAATGTTTCATTTACTCCTCCAGTCTGAAACTAGAAAACAGAAATAGCAATGCAATTTATTAGGACAGATCTTCCAAATGTCTTATGCCATTAAATAATGTGTGAACATATATCTTTAAAAACACTATCCCTGCAAGTTATGTCTCAAATTCCTTTACTGTTAATTACTTTTAAATCTTTCAGTAAGTGAAGACATACTGTATTGGTTCCTTTTTGAAACTTTTTCCTTTTTCCATTAATTTGCAAAACAGTTTTGAAAACACAGTTGAATTATACACTTGTCTTGCTTGAGACTGCCTTTGTGTTGGATAAAGTTTAAGGATCTAAGGTAGCAGTGAAAATCATGATAAACAGTCTCTGACCTACTAGGTTTGCTTTGACCAGTCAAATCCCTGATATCAAATATCTTTACTATCTGGTATCAATGGACTGATTATAGTCAGGGCTACTACACTGGACTCTTAATGACCTCCCCAAAGAGCAAGTTCCGATTTTCTAATGATGTCTTGATTTTCCAAAAGGAATATTAATATTTCTTTACCAAACTTTACATTTATTTATAAGATACTTTTAATTACTGAATATCACTAAAAGCAATGCCCATATGATTCAAGTTACAATACCAAAATTCTCGTCTTCTTAAACTGAAATGGAGATGTATAGTTCTGTAGTACTTTACAGATTATAAAACTTTACACTGTAATATATAGTTAGTGAAAGTTGTAGAAACTTTCAGATTAAAATCACATCTTTATTTGTGTCAAATAAAATTTACTTTTCTAAAGCCCATATAACATTAAGCTTCACTAATCAAAACACTGGTTACTTAAGAGCCCTTAAATATATACTAAAATATTCAATAACAACAGAATCTGTATCTCCTATAAGTGCCAGCTCTGTTAGGCATTCAGAAAGAAAAGACTGGGCTTAAGTGCACTTTCTCCTCACTTATCGCTCACAGCACAGAGCACATCAGTCAGAGTATACCCTACAGAACTACATTCATGCTGAAGCTCTTGTAGCCCCATGAAGAAAAGGCAAAATGAATCCAGTTAAATTAACTGTACATTTTATTAAACCTAATAAAGGCAAAATAATTTCAACATGAAATTATTTTCTTAAATTTCAGTGTTTTTTCATTCCTTTTTCAAGTTAAGTCTGAAACTGTGGTTTGTATTTCACACTTTCAGCACATGTCAATATGGACCATAGAATACTCAACTGTCAAATGTAACAGTGGTTATCCAGAGAATATGTATGGCCACAGAGATGTTCTTTTATTATGCACAAAGAAGCAAAGAAAGAAGAGCAGGGTGGTACACTGTAAAACTCATGTGGCCCTGTTAAAGCTAATTTTATGTAATAAACTTCTGTATGATTTACTCGAGTAAAGTTTAGTGAGGTAGGGTACAATTCAATTCAATTCAATTGTACTGACTACTCTGAACTCAAGGTCTTGTACTTGCTTGACTGACTTGCTTGCCTGATGCTCTACCATTTGACTCCTATTCTCCAACCCTACTTTTTGCTCATTATTTTGGAAATCAGAGTCTCATGAACTTTTCTGTCCAGCTAGCTTCAAATAGAATACCTCCTGAGTAGTTATGTGTCTGGCATACTTTTTATCCTTCTTAATTGGTAAAATAATTGTTATATTAATGGTTTACAACATACAAGATATGTTTGTTATGACCATTATTAGCATACATGTTATCTTGAACAATTATCACTTATTGTGTTTCAAGAAAACCTCTGAAATATTTTCTTCTAGCTATAGTCACTCTACTATGCTACAGAACAAACTTATTACTGTTATATATTTGTACTAATAACCTCTATCTTTCCTTCTAGCCTCTGGTAACTTTCATTATACCGTTTAGTACGAAATCAACATTTTAGAGTTTATATATCTGAGTGAGCTTAGATAGTATTTGCCTCTGTGTCTGGTTAATTTCATTTTAAAAAACAGCCTACTGTTTCATCTATGTTGGCACCAATGTCAGGGTTTCATCACCTTTTATGACTAATACTCCACTATATGGAATAATATTCCTCTCTATCACATTGTCTTTATCCTGAATATTAAAATGTAATATAGTTGAAGGCTATCAGTAGATAAAGTAAAATTTTTACCATCATTTTGTTAATAAAGCTCATGTATCATCAGACAAGCCAAATTTATGAGTCATAAAAAACAAGGGATAAAGATTCAAGTTGTATTTTTAAATTACTACACTCAGACACTGTAAAAAGAAGTCAATGTACTAAATTTTAGTCAAGATCTTCAAGATCAAACTTAAGTATATTTTACAATGAACTAAGTTTTTTTTTTATAACAGAAAGGCATCATTGTAAACATAATATTCCTATAGGCCATAGAGAGCAACTATTTGCATTATGTAAACTAATATAAATTATTTAAAAAATTTTAGATTTCACATTTACCTGTAGTAGAAGGGTTCTGATGATGCATTTATATAGCTGCAATATATATAACTGCAATTTTAATTCTTTTATTGTATATGTATTTTTATTGTAAAAATATTGTACAGAGGGGTTACAGTTACATGAGTAGGGTAATGAGTACATTTCGTAGTAAGGATTGTTACCTCCTCTTTTGTTTTCCCCCTACCATCACTTTCTTCCCCACCTCCCCCACTCCACCAGCCCCCTCCACCCCAACAATGTGAAGTTCGTTTTCAACATAGTGTCCTGTACATCTAATCATCACAATGAGTCAACCTGCATTCCCATTTAAGCATTCCGCTATATCCCTTCCCCTCCCAAAAATACAAAAACGTATTTACAAGATGCAGAACACCGGCATCAAATCCAGTGAAAATAGGGGTTATACCTTGGGGGAAGAACATACAAAAGAAACAAAAGAATCCCATAGTGCATTATAAGTACATTAAAAACAATAGCAAGAAAGAAAAAAAAACACTTGTGTCTCTGTCTTGGGGTATATTTTGCTTAACATTACATAACTGCAATGTACATAACTGCAATATCAAGTTACTTTTCAAAGAATGCCATAAAACCTAGCTACTTGGAAGGTACTGTTTGGAAGGATTATGGTTTGAGGCCAGACAAAAAGTTAGCAAGACTTCATCTCAGCAAACAAGTTGGGCATGGTGGAATAAGTCTGTGATGATCACAGATATGTGGGGGGTCATAGGTACTGAGGCTTGCACCAGACAAAAACACAGTCTTTACCTGAAGAATAACTAAAAGCAAAAAGGGCTGCAAGTGTGGCTCAAGCAGTAGATCCCTTGCCTTACAAGGACAAGGTTCTGAGTTTAAATCTCAAGCAGTACTGAAAAACCAAGCAAGCAAGCAGAAAAAAAAACTCTATCTTAAAGAATCAAATGAGGATAGATCAAATAACATAGAAGAATAGCCAGCAAATAATCAAGGGTCTGGGGATGGATCCTACAGATAATTCATGACACTGGCTTACTTTTTAGAATCTCCAGAAGAGCCAGAAAGGGTATCTCAGCTCTACTGTCATAGCAAAATGTCATAGGTTGGCATTTTCTGCGAGTTCTAGAGGCCAAGGATCCACACCCAGAACCAGCAGGGTGTGTGTGTGATAAGGACTCCTCCTGGAGTCATCTCACTGAGTACTCAAGACTTCTTCATTGTGTGCATGAGGGAGGGAGAGATGGAGGAGAGTGAGCAGAGAGACAGAGGGAGGGAGAGAATAGCATAAAAAATAGCAAATCAAATGAATGGTTTGTTCTGTTTGTTGTTCTGTTCCAAGGATGAAACTAGGGACTCACACTAGCTAAGCACATACTCTGTCACTAAATTGAACCTCATCCTGGTCCCTTCTTAAAAGAGCACTAACACTAATTACTCTCTAATTACTGCTAATTACTCTCTCTCAGAAGTCCCACCTCCAAATAACATCACACTGGGGGTTATGGATTCAATGCAAGCGTTTAGGAGGCATAATCCAGTCCATAGCATATGGCTTCAAAGGACACCTGAGCAATTTGATCCCATTCCGAACACAGGTGAAGAAATTACTTTGAAAAAATAATTTCTAAATATTCAGATCTATTTTGTAAACCTTGTATTTTTAAAAAGCTCTGTATTTGTAAAATAATCAAGAAAAACAACAAATCCTCTGTTAAAAACCAACTTCATTTAGTGATTTAGGTCATTTTTCATATTCATGTTCTATGACCATTGATTTCTTTCTCTTTCAAAGAGATACAGACATAAAAACAATCATAGATAGAATTACAAATGCCAGCTCCAAAAACCTTTCGGATAATAGAATAAAATAAGTCACAGGCATAAAAATATCTCATGTATATTTTTATAGGTGAGAGGAATCATAGAAAGATTTTCTTCAGCTCTATCAAACCCTTACCTTGTTCAAGAATGTCTGTGGGCCTGGGAAAGTTGGGTTGTATGGCATCTGCTCCATGTGGGTGTGTTGAGGGGCTGGCTGGCATTGATACATTGAATTGGTCCCAGAATAACATGTCTGGGGAGTTATGATGGTTGACTGGGAATTTATTCCAGGCTTTTGGTTTTCAGGAACTTGTAAACAAGTGACAAAATCTTCTAAATTAGAAGAAGGAGTAGGGTAGAGGGATGGTTCAAAGTTCCCCATGGGAAAGTCCAACTGTGTACACTTGGAATGTTGTGGTAAAACAGACTGATTACAGGAAATGAAGTTCTGTGTGTAAGGCATAGTGTCAATCTCAGATTTGTAGGGGAACTCTTGATGAGCCCCTTGTAAATCTGAAAAAACATTGCACTGTTGTAGGTCTTGCTGAGGACAACTGAAAGGCATGGACTGATCAGAGTTCCAATTTGCAAACATGCCATTAACTTGCATATTCCTCATTTGCTGGCACAATTGTTGCTGGGGCTCTACCACCGCCTTCTTCTGCTGTTGAGGGTACTGGCATAGCTGCTGCTGCTGCGGCTGCTGCTGCTGCTGCTGCTGCTCTAACTGCAGGCGTTCCTGTAGCATACAACTTGAGTTCAGACCCACAGGCTGCTGTTCTTGGTAATCTGCACTCTGGAAGGTAGACTTATTTAAGGAATCTTGGACATAGGTTAGAATTTCATCTGTTAGGTCAATGTCTCTAAAGTCAACCTCACCAGAAAAGTCATTTCCAAAAAATTCTTCATTCTGCATCTGTTTGATATCTTCAAAATCAATGCCTAGGTTTTTCATAGTGTGGTATAATTCACTATTTTTATTATCTGGAAACAGCCCTGTGTGACCTCCAGAGAGCATTGGGTTAATTTCCTGAGATTGTCCAATGTGCTCATGTTTCAGAATGGAAGCATTTTCCATTGGTGCAATACTGTTTTGCCAATTACCAAATTCACTCATAGAATCCTTAAAAACGCTTTCTAAAGGTGTTGTGTTTGAAGCAGGATAGAGATAAATAGATTGATCCTGTTGCATCATGGAACCCAGAAGGGAACTGGGATGGAGTGAATCCTTACTTAGAGTCGATTTGGTAGCACAGTCTCTTCCACTAGTGTTGCTGCTCTTAGTCCTTACTGGTAAGGGATCCATTATAGTAGGAAATGGACTGGTTAACTCATAGAGCATAGCTTCTCCGGTGGTAAACATAAAAGGCAGGGTCAAATTCCGTTTTTGTAAATGATCTCTTCCTTCTTCATCTCTAAAAGTATGTTCAAGAATATCTGCATGTATTAGTTTTAACATAAACATTTTTAACAAGATATAAAACATTTTAAAGTAAAATATACCAAAACTGAATTTGGCAGCACTGAACATGGACTTTTTCAGTTGAACAACTTTTTCAGTTGTTCTCATAACTGGCACAAAATGTATTTAAATTATGTGGAATTTTCTTCCAAAACTTAATATACTATTAAGTCTTTGCTTAGGAGGCATATGTCCCTAACCTGACCACCAACAGAAAAAAATAATTTGTATGGGGCTGGGATGGTGGCTCAGTGGTAGAGCGCTTGCCTTGCATGCATGAGGCCCCGGGTTCCATTCCCCAGCACCACATAAGCAAAAAGAAAAAAAGCTGAAAGTGGCGCTGTGGCTCAAGTGGTAGAGTGCTAGCCTTGAGCTGAAGAGCTGAGGGACAGTGCCCAGGCCGAGTTCAGGCCCCACAACCGGACCCCCCCCCAAAAAAATAATTTGTATGTATTCTAACTGTGACAACAAGCAGAATTTAAGAGGCAGGGTAGAAGAGTCACGTCTAAATAAAACAATAATACATAGGAAATAGGAATTATGAAATTCAAAATGTTTTATAATTTCACAAATTCATAGATCCAGTTAACATATGAAGAAAACATTTTCAATATGGATTAGTATATTTATAATATGTGAGTATAAAATTTCATATCTGTTACAAGAGCTCCAATGAGTCTGACAGGCAAACAAGTCAATAGAAAAAGGGGCAAACAGTATGAATTAGCAATTCTTAGAAAAATGTCCTAGGGGATGTAAAGAAATGTCCTGTGCTTCCAGTAACTAATGGAACAAGCACACAAAGTATCCTCAAATACATGAATATGAGCAACACAATGAACAAATTAGACCACTGATTCAGATATATGAAGACCATTGTGTTTCTAACCAAGAGGACATGTGTTATTTAGAAGAGCACATGGGATATTTTACCAACATTTGACTATGTATCAGATAATAAAACAAGACATAAAAGGATTTCAAAGGGCTAAAATCAGCCTTTTAGAAAAAGACAATAGAATTAAGGTAAAAGTTAATCCCCAACAACAACAAGGGAAATCTATCAAAAGGCATAGCACTCTAAGAAATTAAAAATTAGAAAAAATACTTTCAATCAACTGTAAGCGATGTATTAAGTATGAGAGTTTGTTAACTAAAATTGTAGAAAGGAAAACTGCAATGATTAAATTTACATTAAAAATTAGAAGTATAAAAAATAGCAAATTATCCTCAAATAAAAGAAGATATCAACAGACAATAAAATAGAAAATGGAAGTACAGTAGAAATTTTTTTTTTAAGATGAAGCCAGAAGAAACTAATAACATTGCTAATCTTTTAGCAATACTGGAAGGAAACAAATCTGTTTTGGTATAGAGGATATACCCATCCACATATGCACATATATGCACAATACTCACATATGCACATTCAAACATTTATCATGTTAAGGGTCAGAAGATGCTAATTCTCCTCTACATTATCTATATTTCAATGTCATTTTATCAAATTTCAGTAATTTTTGGTGAAAAGTGACAAGATAAGCCAAAGCAATCTTGAAGGATAATAACAACAAAAACTAAATGAATTGTTGGCTCATGCCTATAAGCACCACTCAGGTGGGTAAGATCTGAGGATTTCAGTCCAAAGCCAGCCTGGGCAGGAAAGTCCATGAGACGGCCAGTTAACCACTGAAAAAACAAAAGTGGAACTGTAGTGGTGAGACTTAAGTGAAAAGCCTAGAACAATTCCCAGGCTCTGAGTTTAAGCCCCAGAACTGGCATTTTACAAAAGAAGAGGAGAGGGAAAGGAGGAGGGAAGGAGAAGAGAGGTGAAGAGGAGAGGGGAGAGAGGGGAGAGAGGGGAGAGAGGGGAGAGAGGAGGAAGGGAGGGGCTGGGCATGTGGCTTAGTGGGTAGAGTACTTGTTTAGCTCTCTGAGGCTCTGAGTTCATTCCTTGGTACCACATAAACAAAAATAAATAGAACAATTGTTTTTTAAAAAAGAGAAAGGAAAGAAAGCTAAACAAACAAAATGAAGAAAGCTAAACAAACAAAATGAAGACATTTATCAAATGTAACCAAAAGTAGTAACAATTTTAGAATAATGTATTGTCACAAAATAGATACCTAGGTCAACAGAGTCTGAAACAACACTACAGATAAAATCCTCTAATCAACATACAGTAGAGTGACATAGCCTTTCAATAAATCCCATTTTTAGTAAATGTTACTGGTCAACCGATAAACCTAAAGGGAAAAAGTCTGTAGTGATCCTTCTTCAAATCACATACCAGAAACAATTTTCCAGAGTAGGAGAAGTATTTATGATGCAAAATTTGAGAGGATTCCTTCATTTGAAAGTATTCTTGCTGGGCACTGGTAGTGGCTCACACCCATAATCTTAGCTACTCAAGAGGCTAAGATCTGAGAATCACTATTCAAAGCCAGCCTGGACAGAAAAATCAATGAGACTCTTATCTCCAATTAACCACCAGAAAACTGCAAGTGGTGCTGTGGCTCAAAGTAGGAGAATGCTAGCCTTGAACAAAATTGCTCAGAGAGCACCCAGGCCTGAGTTCAAGCCTCACAACCCCAACAACAACAACAAAAAATAAGTGTTCCTTTCAAATATTTCAAGATTTTGAGAGAACTCCTTTCTAGAACATGTAATGAACCCTTACACATCACTTTGTGTTTAGAAAACACATTCTAAACAAAACATTGGTTCCATTTTCAAGATTGTAGTAGCTTTTCAATCTTTCCTTAAACTGAAGGGTAATACTTGCGTTTTCTTTTATTATTTTTACTCTGCAGTTCTACATATTTACCCGCTCAGTAAAATTTGTTCCTACTTGTTTTCTTGATATCTCTCACATGAGCCCTATATTTCTCTCTATATATATTAACTTATTATTATAAATTCATATAGGAGGACTTATATACCAAATTGTTACCAAAAACAAAACCAGGAATCATTTTATGTATTTATGCTTACGTTAGAGGTCTCTGAGTTGCGATGATATAATCTGGTCGTCCATTTTTATAAACTAAGCGTGCATTAGACTGGACCCATGTCCATCGATTGTGTTTTGCAAGAAGTCTGAAAACGGTCATGCCACTTTCTCCAGTCTTAATCACTACAATAAAATTGTTAAAAAATCAAGTTACTAAACCCCAAATCAGTGAAGAAAACCTCTGAAATGAAACCTCTCAGACATATTTCTAGGTGTATTTCATGTAGTACCAATTCAAGGTTTTGACCACTTTTAAGCATCATATACTGAATCTGAAAGGTGAAGAAACAATTTTTCAAGGTTGGCTTTTTCCTACTTCAGACTAAACATTAAAAATGTTAAAAGAAAATTAAGGACCAAATGATTTCAGTAAACATGAAGTACAGGAAAGTTTGACCTAGGTGAAAAATAAAAATAAATTGTTTCCACTGAAGCAAAGGATATTTTGCCATAGGCTCAGTATTTCCCAAACTACAGTAATAAAGATTTATGCTCATTAAAAGGTTTTTGCTCATTAAAAATGAGCAAAACTTCCTGTACACTTAAACTTGTCTTTTCATAGTCATTAATTTACTATATTTCTAGTGGTAGAGTTCTTAAAATAAAAGCTTAACTCTGGTTAATCAAAATGATATCTAATGTAATAATTTGGAGTATGAATTAGAGTACATGCTATATTTGGAAGTGTTTCTAAGGAACGACAACTTACTTCGGACATGTAATTCAGCACAATACAGCATGTCAGCTGCATGGACGAACTGATATCCTGAGCCTCTTGCACAAAGCTCGGCTTCGGTGTATCCTAAAACAATTTGTCCCCTTTTTTTAAAGGTAAAATAAGATTGAATTACAATTTAACATAAATAACCATGATCAATTGATAGCTATAGTCTATTTCCTATAACATGCTTTACTTGACATTCAAAATTTCTCATTAACAGTTAGAAAGACCAACCATATCTATGTAAACTAGTTCTTTTGCTTATACTTATAAGTTTTAACTAGAAAAAAAGAACAGTATTATGACTAAAATGTATCTAACAGGACATATTGTAAAACATCTTGGTGAAGAGAGATTGCCAACTTACCTCACAGCATCCTCACAAAGTAGAAAAGCATTTATACATTTTGATATGAATAAATATAACTGTATTATATAATTTTTAGGAAGTTACTCAACTTCTAGTAAACAATATTTGCACAAAATATAAAACCAGTAAGAAGTGTTATCAGAATTGAGTCTTAAAAGTATCATCAAAAACTAAAAAATAACAGGATGATTTGTGAGCCTGATGAAATTACCTTACTTTAATAAGATATACTGCAAGAATACAAAATAGTAATAGTTGTATAAGAATAAATCATTATATCTTGGGGGGAAAGAGAGTCAGGGGAGTAGAAAGTGGGGGAAAAATATTCAAAAAGAAATGTACTCATTATGTTACTTATCTAACTGTAACCCCTCTATATATCACTTTTACAATAAAATTTTTAAAGTATAAATTATAGAACCTACACACTATTTTTCACATAATAAGGGAAACATGCAAAAACAAAATACACATTGGTGAGATAAAAGCAAGCCGCTCTTACTTAGCATCACAACCAGTTGGTGTGAAGTCCAGTTTGTGTTTTGTTCTAAAGATAAAGTTTTTGGTTCGAATTTCCAGTATGGATGGTGGCTGAAGTGGAGTAGCAATTGCAAACAAAGCCAACTGAGGAGGAAGCATAGATCCATCCTTCCCTTTCTTGTTCTGTCCATGAAGATACTTTAATCTCCCTTGGAAATTCATTGCCTTAAACAACCAAAAATAGTTCATTAAAATACACAGTCTAGGGAAGCAAGAGAAAGGAGGGCTAATGAAGTAAGACAGATGGGGTGACTTTGATAAAAGTATTTAATATGTATATGCTAAAGTATCACAATAAAACCCCTTTGTACAGTTAATTTAGGGAAGCAAAAAATTTAAAGTAAGATTGACAGTATAGTTTTGTTTTCAGTGTTTCCATTATAGCTAGATATTGCAAGGAAGGTCCTAAAGCTGAGAACTGTTGCTTCCTTACACTCTGCATGGGACAAGAAGCACAAGAAAACTACCCCCAGAAAGTAGCGTGAGGGATATTTTTAAGAGAATGGTACATGAACCATTCCTTGCCTCTGGTGCTCATAACTGGAGCATCATTTTTTGCCTACCACAATTCTTTTAACACTTGGCACTCGAAATACATCTTCAGAATGACTGAATGCTGGTAAAGCCATCAAGTAAGCATTAATTTTAAATATGCAGGAGCCATGCTTAATTCTGAGAATCTTTCCTATAGAAGCAAATTCAATTTATTAAAACACTACAAAGAGATATTTTAAAACTATATAAAGAATGCAACACTTTAGTAGAGTAAAAATAATCAATCATTTTAGAAGACAGTAGAAAAACAGATTTTAAACAAGAACATGATCAACTTACTTGATCAATCAGCCAAGAGATGATTGTTAATCTGATAGCAGCAGAAGGTAAAAATAACCTTTTATATCCCAATATGATGCTAATTTGAGCACCAGTACAAAGCACAACTCTAACTCTAGGTCAGCATAACTATTTTTAGAAATAAACACATAAATAAATAGCATTGCTTAGTAGTGCTTAGGCTTAAAATTTGATTATCTACTCCAAAAATCCTGATAATGTATGCAAAGAATATATAACAAACTTTTTATTCTCTTCTCCTGAAGAAAATTAGGGAAGAGGCTACTAAACTCTGAGTATCCTCCTAAGGCTTCTTCTCTATTATATGCCACACAGACGTTTAGTCCATTCACATCAGGCTTATGCATAGCTCATGATGGTTCTGTAGTCCATAAATGTGCATTGTTTTCCTATGTGAGAGTTATTACATATATGGATGCACTTAAAATTTTCTTGCGTAGCAATCACTAAGCCCCAATATGGTAAGCATCTTCCTATTAAAGAAGAGCTAGCTAATTATCTTCATCTTAAAATGTCCCCCAAATAGTCAGAATACAGGTTCCATGTTATTTCACTCAAATTTTCCACTGTATCCTAAAAGGAGAAGGGGGGGGGTTGTGTGTGTGTGTGTGTGTGTGTGTGTGTGTGTGTGTGTGTGTGTGTGTGTGTGTGTGTGTGTGTGTGTGTGTGTGTGTGTTCATTCTGGGATATAAAAGATATTCAAAGTCTGAAATAATTATTTTAAAGATTTACTTTCCTATACCCAATTTTTAAGGAGATAGGTAATTTTTAAAATTGAATTCAAATATGAGCAAAGAATATTAACTTCATTTTTTGTTTTCTATTCTTTATAGTAAAAGTCAGAATCATATAATTGTGTACCTTACCAGAAAACCAGATGAATTGTCCAGCAGACACCTTAGCCGGCATATGAAGCACCTCTCCATAAACGGAGTGTTTTCTGGAGGAAGCTGTTCTGAGGTATAATAGACTCCTGCCTGTGTTAGGCCATGAGCTTCTGTAGAAATAAAAGCAACACAAATTTTACATATCATTTTGCTATAAAAATTTGACTAGTTAAAACTTGTGTTAATTCCTTCAATTGGAGTATATATATAAAATAGAAAAATCATGCCAGGCACTGGTGGCTCACCCCTATAATCCTAGCTACTTAGGAGGCTGAGATCTGAGGATACGGTTCAAAGCCAGCCCGGGCAGGAAAGGCCATGAGACTCTTATGTCCAATAATCTACCAGTAACCGGGGAAGTGGCGCTGTAGCTCAAGTGGTAGACTGCTTGCCCTGAGCTGAAGAGCTGAGGGACAGTGCCCAGGCCGAGAGTTCAAGCCCCACAACTGACCAAAAAAAAAAAAAAGAAAAGTAAAACCATTTTCAAAAGTGATTCAAATAACCAAAATGTATTTACTGGTTTTGTTCGGTGGCACTCTGGACAGAACTCAGTTTACTAAAGACCCTACCACTTGAGATAGCCCACTCCTTATTCTTTTACTTTGTTTTTCTGGTAGTGTCTTGTACTAACATTGTCTAGGCCGGCTTTCAATTATGATTTCCCTACTTCCACCTCCCACAGGCATGGATCACCTTGCCTGTCTCACAAAAACATACTGAATAATAATACTTTTGTCACACAGAACAGTACTTAATTTTTCTTATTATTGAGTTGTGACTGTTAACAGTTTTCATATTTTCTAACACTTTTCTTTTTTAAACACTTTCAAAGATTTCTGACAATACTACTGATGTAAGAAAACATGTTTTTGTATTGCTAAATTACTTTTTAATTGGTGCATTTTAATCAACAATTTACATTCACTTTCATTTCAACTTTGCACATTCTTTCCAGTTTTCAGGATGGAACCAGAGTTATTTTATTAAACTCAGTATACATTCCTGTATATATGCCAACACTCCTGCCTGTGTGAAATTCCTCAATGGCTCCCATCTGACAAAGGTTATTCAGACCACCAGGTCCTGTAACCAACTCTGGCCCAGAGCTAGACTCACTTTTTTCTACTTTGTTTCTTACCTTCAGCACAATGGCCTATGCTGCAAAGGTTCCCAGCCTCTCCTTTCACCAAAGGATATCCAAATAACCAACACCACAATCTTTTGGTAAACATTCTTACCATCAATTCCTTGTCCAGACTCTTGTGGAGGGTTTAATGACCAATGTAACTGACGCTGAAATTCAGCTCGATCTTCAGTATGGATAAGTTCATACACACTCTGATGTATGACATCAGACTAAAGAAAAAATGATACAAGGAAATAAAAGTTCTGAGGAAACAATGCAATGGCTTGGTAAAACAGTGTTAAGTCCTATCTAGATTAGTGGATGCTTGTTAATGGTGATGAATGCAAATCCAAAGAATGTCAAAACTTCCTAGTCATCCAAAATAGGAAAAGCTAAAAAAGGAGACTTGCATTTTAACTGATGGGTTCTGTTATTTGCCATAAATTCACAACATGAATGTTCAAATGTCACCTCTACTCTACTTAAATACACCATATAAAAATCTGCACAAGATTCTTATCCATTGACTCATCTTGTAAATCCCTGTAAATCAATGAATCTTTCCATGAACACCTAGTCCTGTAATCTTAGTATTTATTACATTATTTCCTTTACAGTTATTAAATGCTTTCTTCCATTAAATTTTTACTGTATTGTTAAGATTGAACAGATTTTTTTTTTGTTTTCTTCACTGTTATTAGATGTTTTCTCCCAGTAAATTTTCACTGTATTGGTAATTTCAATAAGATTGTGCTTACACCATATCAGGATCCCTCCTTTCCCTCATTTCTCAGAATCCACTACAGTGTAAAGCCTTGATCTTTAACCTAGTGTTTTCCTAGTTTTTCTCCTTTATTTTTGAAACTGCAACTCATGGTATGAAGAACATTTTCCATCCATCACACATTCAAACATACAAACCCATGGAGAACAGTTTCACATATACTTTTCAGAGTGATAATATTGCAGTCTATATTATATTCTACCTTAACCAACTAAAAAGAAAGTTTGATAGTGATACACTATCAACAACTGCATTATAACCCACAAATGGGGCATAATCTGTATTTTCAAAAATAGTGTCTTTGTCTACCACTCATGAATATTCAGGCTATGAGTTAAAGTAATTTTAAAAAAGTAAGTTGAAATGCGGTTAGTCTCTTAGGTTTTTTTAAACTAATATATATCAAATCATGATTAACAAAGTTATACAACTCATTAAATTTCAAATATACTTTTCTATGGACACTAATGTATTTGTGTTAAAAATCAAAGAAAAAAAACCATAGGCTTTCTGGAAGGTGCCAAATTCCATTACTTTAGTTGTCTATGCTTGAATCTCCCTAGGAACTTAATCTTCTAGCATTAAGTCATCTCTGTATCATCTATTATACAACTGCCAGAACTGTCATCTGAAAGAGACTCTAAAGCACACACTTTACTTTTTCTTTAACAAAAACCCTCAGTGTTTCCACTGTGTGTATACAGTGAAGCTACAGTTTATAAAACAGCTTATTTCATTATTCAGACCAGTTGTCTTGTTAAGATTGCGAGAAATGAATATCCATGGATATGAATGGACATGAACACATTGTAACCTGCTGAACACTGACCTAGAACATGTCCAGAGATTTTTATCAAGTGTTTCAGGTGACTCATGCATATTGCAATGTGAGAATGAGACATAAGAATATAACAAGCATTCTAGTATATTTATAATCTGTTCTGAAATCATATCAGATGTTCTTAAACCTCAAATATGCCAAGCATTTTACAATTCCCATTTATTCTCCATCCACTCAAAGCTGTTTAAATGACTCAAATACACACTTCCTTCAAGGGTTTCTAGTCTACCGCTACAGTACATCTATCTCCTCACTTTCCCCCCTGTTTTCCACATGGTTTTGGTCCATTTCAATTCATTTTCTTTAGGCCATTTTCAATAATCCACAAAAATCAGAATAAACCAAAATATGTGACTTGTGCTTTTTTCTTAGCACCTAATGTATTTCATAGTTATTTTATGTCTTCTGCAACCCATGTTAACTGATGGTCTGCCCGAAAAATACCCTCCCCTGCCACCTTGCGTGAGGACTGAAACCACCAGGGCCTCACACAAGCTAGGCAAGCACTATATCACTGAGCTATATATATCTGCAGAACCTTGAGCGTGTCTTATACATGAGATTATTGACAAGTCCAAACAGAAACCCAATAACCAAAAATCATACTAACATTTTAAGAAATCAGTGCTATAAATTATTAAAATGAGCAAATATATTAGCTGAAAATATATTTTAATAGCACATACATTTTAAGTTATACTTTATATAATCAACTTTGGTCTTAAACTATAAAATATGTAAGCAAGTTCATTTTATAAAGAAAATTATTTTAAATAGGAAAAGAAAAAAAAACATATTTACTTGTTGAAACCCCAGGTAATCTTGGATAGTAGAGGAAACATAAAAGACTAAAGCATCTGTAGTGACAACCAATACAAAGCCATTCAGAGCCTAGAAGGAAAAGAGTTATAAAATTAGTATGGAAATTAACATCATTACTCATACATACTGACTTCAGCTAAAAAAAATCTCTTTACAATGATTAGACACCTTACACCTCAAAAATAGACAAAAGTAGACCTTTGAAAAGAGAACTACACTTTGGACAACAGCCCTCACTCAGGACCTGGGAGCAAGTCAAGGCCATTCTATTACTGAGGCAACCAGAGGCCGCACTTACACTGGCCTACCCAGCACAGGCCTGGACCCTTTAAGACCCCAGCCCTGTGACTCCTGGACGCCCCCATGCCAGCAGAAAGTAGCCAGAAAAAACCATGATTCCCTCTACCTTTTATACTCCTTCAGGTTCCAAATTATGGCAATCTGCTTTATTCTCATAACTCCATGTTACTCTCCTAAACCCAATTCTTTTTATGTATCCAAAGATCCTATATGAAGAACTTGCCTTTTTCCTCTTGGCCCAATCATTTTATGTATCTAAAGATGGAATATGAAGGATTGACACCCCCCCCCATGTTATCCCAGGCCCATACAGACGCCAGGCAAAATCCCAGGTATGTGTGAACTTGTTTGACGTGTAGGCAGGGCAATCCACCTAAGTCCAGCTGTGAACATCCATTGTGGGCCCAACTGAAAGGCCCCCACCTCCCTTGACCTAGTGGCTTTTTCATTAACCTCTGCCTCCTTGCTCAGACCTCCTATAAAAACCCAGCTCCTGTCCCAACTCTTGGGCACAACCTCCAAACCTGCGGGAAGGTCTGTGCCCCTCGCTGTTCCTCAATGAACAGTTCTCGCCTGTTAATAATAATAAAAAAATAGACAAAGTACATGACTGCAAAAATGTATTAATGTTTGACTTGGCCAAGGAAAGCTTACAGCCAAACTTAAAGCTCAACCACAGTACTAATTTTTTATATCAAATATATAAAAATCATTCACTGTCATCTATCACACTGCTCTACTTAAAAGAGAATATCAGGAAACAATGCTGACTAGATCCTAAAAGAGATGAGTCTAGATTGGAAGAAAATTCCTTGGTAGAAAGACACTTCAAGTGTCTTTAAAAATATTTCAAAGAATTATAAACATAGTTTATTGGAAATTACATCAAGAAGTATACTTAATTTATAAATAACAATACTATTAGTCTTACTCTGTTTTCCTGACACAGGATATGCTGTATAATTTGCCTAAATAATTTTAGGGCAAGACAAAAATCATTAGCTATATTTTAAACCAATTTACTGTTATATCAATTGGCCCATATTTTTCTTGAAATAAAGGATTTCATTATCACCTTACTAAATAGCCTAAATGTACTTAATTACCCTGAACAACAAAGTATTAGAAAATTTCCTGTGATCTTAAGAATAAGTTTTTGTTTTAATTATCATACCTCAGCTGGTAGTGCACAGGGCACTCATGTTTAAATATATCCAATTTATTTGACTTAAGGAAGCCCAGTTAATATTTACTATCTGGAATTTGGACATGATTACAGAACTGTAATAACAATGTTAAGAATTATTACACTACACTCTAATTGCCACATCTGAGCAGGCACTGATTGAACTAATGGACCTACCAAAATTTATGCTAACTTTTGTCACAAAAGCAAACCAAATTCTTCCATTCAGTTGGTTGTACTGAAGTCAAAGCGATGAGGTCGCAGTAACACTCTGTGTCCTAACACAGGTCTTCATTTGATCTCATTTCAACAAAATAAATACACTTCAGAGAACTCTCAAAGCATGAAAACATATTTGAATAGCTCCTCAAGTTCTAAATCAGAGCTTAGGAACAATTTAAGTTTTCACAAATCTATGTAATAGTCTCCAAGTCTAACGCAGATAAGATGGCTTGCATTTGTTATTAATTGCATACAAAGAAATGTAAGCTACAAGACAACTTACTAAAAAAAGAAAATTCAGCTTAAAATAATGCTTAAGTCTGGAATAAATGCACTAAGTTTTTGGTTGAGCTATATTCTTGTAGAAAGTACCTATAAATCCAATGTCTTATATAAAAATCTGCAAACTAGGTGAAGACATCCTCTTGTCTGAAGGGATTACAACAGAGAGGTGACAATCAGACCTCTAACTCACTTGGTCAACCTAATTTCATTTATTATGTACCAGCATAGTGCACAGACAGGATGCAAGACACTATGTGAGTCCTAAACAACTGGAAACAGTAAAAAAGACTAACTTCTCAGTAGCAATTGTTCTTACTTTAAGGAACTCTATTTACTAAAACTTACTTGTAATAAGAATTCTCCTTCTTGCAAGTTCATGTCTCTCAATTTTGCTGTACCATTATCCTGGATTCCATTTCTGTCCACGAAGGAAGATTTTAACGCAACTATAGAAAAAGAAAAGAAAAAAGTAATGCTATATCAGGTATATTTGTATTTAAGCAGTATGAAAAGGCTATCAAGAAAATCTCTAAGATAAAAGGACAACTTGAAATACTACGTATATGTTTAGGTCTTTAAATTTTAGAAGGCAACATAACTGGAGTAATATCTACAGTTACCATTTACTTAAGCTTTTTATCAAGCACTTTTAAGCATAACCTTATTAAAAGCATGTGTCTACAGTATCTGACAGAATTGCCATTTATTAAATGTGTAAGCTCTTTGGACCTGTTTCTTGATGTAAGAAATGGCAATTTAATAATAATTTTTACAAAATCCATCCTTAGTGTGACAAGTAATGAGAATACACCAGAAATTCCTGGCACACAGCAGAGCAATAGTCAATAAATGAGTCTTTAATTATTAGCAGCACTCTCAAGAACTTAAGGACTGCCTACTGATAAGGTGTACATGAAATACATTTTGTTGTCCCTCTCCCTTTCTGCGGATCCCTTTTTAAACCTGTGATACTTACATACTGACTTGGCAATCATATTAAGGTTTCTTATTTCATTAGATTTTTTTACATCTCAAAATAATCTGGCTCAGTAAAAGTGATTTATGAAGAATCAGATTTTCTCTCAGCTTGAATAAAGTTATTACATAAAATACTCTCGTGTTTGCAGGGTATTTTCTGGTAAGTCATCAGTGTGTGTGTCATAGCAGAATCTTATGCCAAGTTCTGGCTGCTGCAGAAGTTGAAAGATATCTCTCTAAAAGAAGAAGCCAGGAGGCTGGCCTTTGAATAGAAAAGTTTCAAAAGGCCAGAGTACAGATTTCCTTAGGCCAAAAAAATAATGTGAGATAAATTGATCTAACAGTTAATCAAGACCAAAGGAAATACTCAAATGTTTCTCATCAAAAGGAAGAATAGAGTGAGAACAGCCTTTTCTTCTTTTATGTTCTATGTTATTTTGTTGTTTCTTGCTTTTTTATGGCCAAATTTTCTTGAATGTACTAAAACCTGACAATGCCAATTAACTACACTCTGCAACTTCGTCAAATGCTGCAGAGTATGAGACACAATTAAGGAGGTATAACAAAACTTGTTAAAAAGAAACAAGAAGTAACCAAAACCTCACATTATAAAATAACAAGTCTAAAAGTAATGAGAAATTTAGAATGTCTAAATTATACTGAGGAATCTTGAAATCAATTTTTAAACAATGGACTTGGTGTCTGTTCCAGAGTAACTGACAGGAAAAAAAGATAAAATAGCACAAAGAAGTAACTTCCTGATCACTGACAAGTTCAGTAAGAAATTAAAGAGATTTAGAGTAAATTATGATTTGTTCTTTGGCTTCTATTGAGGGTACTAGAAGACATACGGAAGTAGACACGTAGAAGGCTCTGCCTTTATGTTAGACATATGCACTATGAAAGTAAATAAGTAGAAAAGAATGTCAAAATATGAAGTGCCGAAACAGTATTAAAGGAACTTAAAGGTGAGAAACAATAACAATGCTTACAATTCTGAATGCAAAAGATGGCATGTTTAATATGTAAAATTACTGCTTAGGTGGGAACCATGATAAATGCACTTTAGAGATGAGGGTTTTACTAAAAACAAATCTTGTTTTGTCATCAATGAGGTACAGAAGTGAATATTGTGCAAGAATGAGTCCAAAGGGGTACACTCACTTCCCAGAATCATCTAAAAAACATGTTTGCCTTTTGCAGAAAATTCACTGTATGCTGGCCTCTCAACCTAACCACGCAATATTTACCCTTCTGTGAAGTTTTCCCTCCATTTCTTGGTTTCATATCTATTCCCTTAACCTTCTTAAAATTACTAGCAGGTATATTAATTAATACTATTCACTTTTATGTATATACTGCTTGCCTTGATCAGAAAGCAATGGAAGAGCTAGAAGGTGACATGAAGTCCTATCACAGGATTGTTTCCTGCCCCCTGATTTTAGTTTCTTAATAATACTGCTCTTTATGCCTATCACTTCCCATATTTGGTATCTTGAAAGTCCACAGTAGTCCTATGAGACTGGTAGTTTTGTTCTTTTCATATAATAGGACCTGAGACTTAGGGAAGTTTCCCAGGGTAACAAAACCTTAAGTGATACAGGCTGGGCTAAAAACCAGGTTGCCGGAGCCAAGTGTGTGGGCGATGCTGAACCACCTCTCAGACTTCCCACTGCGCTAACCTTCTTTCACCTTCAGTTTCCTCACCTTTAAAGGAGGACAATGCTAGCCCTCTGAGATAAATTCTATTAAGGGTAAAACAACAAGTAGAATATTTGGAAAATCTCTGGAAACAATCACTGACAGTCAAGGACAAAGACAATAAACTCTGCTGATTTTATCCAACCTGAGATCACTTAGAGAAAACTTCCAATTGCATACTGGGGCTTAACTGAGTGATTTCTTGTCTTTAAATGGAGAGCATAAACAAGTTCCTAACAAATCTCTTATGATGACTATATGATATAGATTGAAGTATTCCAAAACTACAAGTTAATACATAAATCATATGTACAATCAGATATATAAGATATTTTAAACACTACAATACAGGAATTAAGTATGCAACAGTTCGTAGAAACAAAACAGCCTGGTGTGGGTGGCTCAGGCTGTAATCCTAGCTATTCAGGAGGCTAAGATCTAGAAGTGAAACTTTGACTCAAGGGGCAGAGCACTAGCCTTGAACACAAAAGCTCAGACAGCTCTCAGGCCCTAAGTTTGATCAGAACAAAGAAAAAAAAGAAAAAGAAAGAAACAGAGAGAAAGAAGGAAGGAAGGAAGGGAGGGAGGGAGGGAGGGAGGGAGGGAGGGAAAGCAAGAAGCAATACTGGAAATATTTCTAGTCATGCAAACTGTGAAGGTCTATCCTAGACCAACTAAATCAGAAATTTTACAGAAGGACCCAGCATTAAAATTAAAAAGCCCTTTAGATGAATTCTAACATCTGTAAAAATTTAATTATCACGATTTTAGATGATTAGTTATAATCTGTCTTTTAAAATGCTGTCACTTTGGATAATACAAGTCAACAACTGATTCTCCTATTTAGAAAGTATCTGCTATAGTCATTATATTCACTGGACATTATATAACAAAATAGATTGTACTATAATCTATGTACATTATGTAAAAAATAAAATAAATGAGAGGGCAAAAATAGAAGAAAACAAAGAAAAGGATGACCAAGAAACATTGTACTTATAATCTGGTATTTGAAATTGTAACTCCTCTGTCCAACTATTTAATAACAACAATTTTTTTTTGGTCGGTCGTGGGGCTTGAACTCTGGGCCTGGGCACTATCCCTCAGCTCTTCAGCTCCAGGCGAGAGCTCTATCACTTGAGTCACAGCGCCAGTTCCGGTTTTCTAGTGGTTTATCGGAGATAAGAGTCTCACAGACTTTCCTTGCCCAGGCTGGCTATGAACCACGATCCTCAGATCTCAGCCTCCTGAGTAGCTAGGATTACAGGCGTGAGCCACTGGTGCCCAGCAATAACATCTAAAAAAAAATTATCTGCTATAAAGGGAGACAATTGTAAAAATCCTCCTGATCAACAGGATATATACCACTTTCCAAAGTGAGAAAAATACAAGATATCACACATACAATGCTAAGACTTTCCTCATTAAGAAGCCAGTGAAGCAATAACACAAAACAAGAATTTAATCAATGATGAAATTTAGAGTGTAAATATATTACAGTAATATGGGATTCAATTTTAATTAATTCATCCATTTTCCGTTTTCTAATATGGTCCTTTGCTTCCATACCTTTAAGCTCAGATTTCCATTTTTCTCCACAAGCCAAGTATTTCATCCTCAGAGAACATGCTTTGAATTGTTTGAGAGAAAATTCAAGAAGAAGAAATACTGGCTTGTGGTAAATCTATTTTGCGTTTTGTAACTATAGCTTGTGTTTAAATAGACACATGACATGATAAATCTTGTCAGGGAAAACAACATGTCTTTTAAATATCAAATCACTGATGTGAATTCAATTTATTTTACAATAGTATTTATCATCCCCTTTATTACTTTGGCAAGAAAAGTTAAATTCCATTCCCACACTGATGTAAGCATAGAAGAACACTGAAATGGCATTATAAAATTCAGCCACACATACAAATTTTTATACAATAGAAAGGGTATTGCAGCATTTCTTAATATAAGGAAAACATTCCTAGTTTAGTTTAGCCTGGTTCCAATGACTATATATATATAATTTCCAAATAACAGATTAAATATATGTAAAGGGAGTTTCTTCTATATACACTGAGGTGAAAGATATTACTTTAATACATTAAGTTTTATTCGGAACTGAAGTATTTTCTTTTGAAGGACGGAAAGAAAGAAGAAACTACAATTTAACTACAACCAGGTTACAGAGTAAACTCCTAGGGAACAAAGATTTGTTCTACATAGTTTAGAGATTTCTGATAATACTGATGGATTTTTCTTCCTGAGTACAAATTTCTAATTACCAAGGTAGAATTAAAGTTCAGCTTTTCAAATGCAGCAGGTGCTATGGCACATGCCTGTAATCTTAGTCATCAGGAGGCTAAGACAGGATATCAAGTTCAAGGACAGCCTACGTTACATAGCAAGTTTGAAGTTACATAGAGAGAACCAGTCTCAAAAAAACCAAGGGTTTGCTAGCATGCATAAGAACCTAGGCTTGTCCCTCACACTGTGAAATAATAACAATAGTAACGAATAATATCCTTGTGATCATAGGATGAAAAACTGGTAGTTACTATTGTTTTTAGCAAATACACACAAACATTTTCAAGCTGAAAATGTCACTAAAAGTCATATCCTAACTCTCAAGTGGAAAGAGAATTCTAAAGCTATTACTTAACCTTTTTCTATTATATATTCAATTATATTCAACTCCTCTACAAGAACATATTAATCTCTGCATTAATACAATCAATAAGATGAGTTAATTTAGCTTTTGAGTAGAATGAGC